TCATGTTTAGTCTTAAAGACCCATTTACACCCGACATTCTTGCATCCTCTTGGCAATTCCACAAGATCCCATACGTCAATTTATGTCCTTGATTTAAGCTCATCTTTCATATAATATAACCACTTATCATAATTATCACCATTGATTTAAGACCATCTTTCATAAGATCATGTGACTGACCTATGTGAGTTGACTTTTACACTATCAAGCCTCAATGTCTTTGAATCGAGGCTGAGAGGTTATGTGCTATTATGTCACATAACAACCATTTAACTGATACCACATCTCGGTCATGTGACTGACCTATCTGTGTTAACTCTTAGATTATCAAGTCTTAGTGTCCTCGACTCGAGGTTGAGGAGTTGTGTAGTGTTATATTACATATGAGCAACAGCTTGTCTCAATCACGTAAGCAACCATTATTATTAACTTGATCCATCACATAGTTTCAAGACCCACAATCACCATGTAACTGAAAAATACAACAAGAACTACAAAGGAACCAAGTAGTGGACAATGCTCAATCCATAACCTACCAAGAAGAATTAATAATTTCCACATACCCCATAATACCAAGGAATATGGGACTTCAAAAAGAGTTTATACATAGACAGCCACCATAAGTGACATGTAACAAATATTGAATAACAAAAGAAGTCTAGAAACCTTATCCAAGACACACTACAACAGAAAGAGGCTTTCATGATGGCACTTTAGATAGCAATTAACAAAAACCGCTTTTAAAAATACATATTAGATAGCGGTTAGGAGTAAAACGCTTTCTAAAGTATGTTTTAATAGTAGTTCAGAAAAAACTGCTTTCTAAAGTAATTTATAATAGTGGTTGTGTGATAACCGCTATCTAATGTCATACCTTTAAAGAGTGGTTGACACGTGGAATCGCTATCATAACTTTAGATAGTGGTTACTTCGTGGAACCGCTATAATAAGTGTAGTTTAGATAGCGGTTATTTGGCGAACCGTTATCTAAAGTCATATTTTTAAAAACCTTTAACCCCTTTTTCTTCAACCTCGCGTTCTCTATTTTTACGGTTTTTGCCGCTATCTGCTCTCCTTCTCGCTCTCTGCGCCTTCCATTAAACTAAAGGTACATTCTCTCCTTCTTGCTCACTTTGTGCTCTCCACTTGCTCTAGGTTCTCTCCATTTCCCTATGTGCCTTCAATCTCTCTCATTCTCTTGCTCTCACTACTCAGTTGGATATTACAACTCCATTGAAGCATATTTGTGTGTCGCCAAGTTCGCGTTCCAGTCTCCATTCGCCATTGTTGTTGTAGGACGCACTTATTGGGAGGTCTACAATAGGTTAGTGCATTATATATTTTTTAGGCTTTTATTTGATTTATTATAGTATAATTATTTGAATTAATGTGATATTGGATACAATTTGCACCCCTGTTTTGATTCTGATACATTTAGTTAAATTTTAGGGTGAGTGTGAATTAGAAATTACAATTTAAATTAGTATTTTAATTGATTAATATCTTAGTTTGGTAAGAATTGTTTATTTTTACCTACATTGTGATCCTGAAATTGTGTTTTGAAATAGAATATAGGTTGGCTAGGATATATATATATATATATGGTTTAGTGTGACCCTAAAATATTTTGTATTAGAGATTATGTATGATGTTTTTGCTGATAGTTTTAGTAATTTTATATGCTTGTTAAATGGTATTATTATATATGAACTTGAGTGAACCTTTAGTTTCCCATTTGAGTCTCTAAATAATGATTTAGGATCATTATTTTGAAACTCAAATTGTCCTAATTTGGACAGTTTGGGAAAAAAGTTTTTCTTGGCCAATAATTATCTAGGTAGTTGATTAAATTGTCCCAATAATCATTGTCTCTTGGTGCATGGTTGAATGAGGTTAATTTTACCAAATTCAAGTTGTGGACTAAGAGACTGATGCGACGTAACAAATTTAGTGTTTGAAAGTTTGATTTTTCATATCAATATTTATAACCCCTCTATTTAGAGGTCTCCCCTCTCTTTTATATTATACTTTTATTATTTATTATATTTTTTAGAAGTTTGAATCATGATTCAAACTCAGTACCTTAGAGTTGAAGGTTGATGCTTCAACCACTAAACTACTAGAATTTTATGATAATAACTTACAAGTAAATATATATCCGTGTAAATATATAAATATAAAATATATAAATACAAATATATTTATATATTTTGATATATTTATATAGTTATATATTTATATATTGGATGTGAGGGCACACTCGAAGGTGAAAGTATGTGTCGAGTGGATTTTCAAAATTTGATGCCAAATTTACAAACGGGTCTCTTTATATGGGTTTGTAATTTAATGATAAAATATAATCTTTATAATTTATTTATATAATGATATAAAATAAATTTGGGAAACGCGTCATTCGCTCAAGCGAAAAATACAAATTTTCGCTCAAGTGAGATATTTTCACTTGAGTGAGTGAATTTCCGTGAGCTTTAACGTATTTTTGCTCAAGCGAGAGTCAATCTCACTTTCACCCTCGAGCGCGCCCTCACATCCAATATATAAATATATAACTATATACCCTGAAATTAATATTAATAACTTATGATTCTCGTTAATATATATTGTGTGATGGCTGGATTTTGTTGGATTAATTTGATATATACCCTGAAATTATGGTCTATCAGGTACAAATTATCAGGAAAAAAATTTGGATTTTAAAATTTAAATAATTTTTTTTTAATTGGGACTTTAGATAACGGTTCCCGAACCGCTATTTAAACATATTAAAAGAGAGCGGTTCTAAAACTAACCGTTGTTAAAAGTATATTTTAGATAGCAGTTGTCGTTTTAACCGCTATTATATGTGTCATTTTTAAGAGCGGTTCATTATTCTAACCGTTATTATAAATACAACTTTGCATAGCGGTTCCACGTTAACCGCTATTATATCTTATTTATGATAGCGATTAGTTAATCACTATCTAAACATCATTCTTTTATTAGCGCCTCATTTAATAGTGTTTTTAACTGCTATTATAAAGCATGTGAAATCGTTATTACATGTCTTTTATGTTGTAGTGACATTTTTTCTAGAATAACCATGAAATTATGTCTTAATTCACAAATTAAATTCACACCGGATTTTCCTTACAATACAATGAGTGTAAAGTAACAAGATATCTTTTATGAGAATTGTAATTTTACTCTATCAAATAATATTCTTTTATATTAAACAAAATTATGTAATTATTCACTAATTTGAAATAATTATGTAATTTATAATTAATATACATAATATAGAAAAGAGATCCAATTTTTTTAATAAATTTTTTATTAAAATTATTATTAATTTTTTTAATATAGTGATCTAATATAATAATTTATTTTAATAAGTATATTATAATATAATAAACTTTGAAAATGAAAAATAAGTTATGACTCATGGGAGTAGGTGTTATATATATATATATATATATATATATATATATATATATATATATATATATATATATATATATATATATATATATATATATATATATATATATATTTTAATTATTAGGGATGACAAGACAGATCAATTTGTTCCATTTCCGTCAAAAATAAAATGAGACATACATAGATCCTAATTCGCTCCACCAAAGGTAGGCTAATGAGCTATAAAGTCCATCTCGTCAATATTTTTCATGTAAATTTTTTTTAATACATCTTCAATTACATGAATAAATTTTAAGTTTTTATTTATTAATTAATATTTTTATTAGATAAATTGAAAAAAATTATTATATTTGTGTGTTAAAATAACTAATTATAATCAATAATTTAAACTAAATTGGTTGATATTATAATTTAAATGATAATATTATAGTATATTTACTTATTTTAATATCATGATATAAAAATATAATATTTTTATTCATAATTATTTTAATATATAAATATATTTTAAATTGAGTCAATAAGCTAACTCATCTCATCCTTGATTCGAGTTGACGAGTTGGATGGAATATATCAAAATGAACTGACGAGTTAAAACTATCAATCTATCTCACTTATTTTTAGACGTGCTAGCTAACTAACAATCAAACCTAACATGTTTACTATTGATTGAAAAAATTACTTTTATAATAAATTTTGGATGAGGTTTGATGTTTATTGTGATATTTTATTTTTGTTAATTACTGAATCAAAATAAAAATTAAATAATAAGTATATATATATATATATATCTATATTCTTTATATTAATTTATTTTTTTAAATCTTAAGTAGTGTTATTTATGTAGTTATAATAATAATAATAATAATAATAATAATAATAATAATAATAATAAATACTGTTAATCTAATTTTAATTAAATCTTAAATATGTTTTTTTTAGATGTAGTAGTTTTCCTTTATTGAGTAGAAAGACGTAAAAACTCCACTCCTAATATAGTCTCCATATATATTTTATTCGTGAAGTATCACAAATTATCGAGAGTATCATAAATTAGAAAAATATATTTAATTTTTATTAATAAAAACCTTTTATTATTATTCTTCTTACTTTTTTGTATAGTAAGCATAGAATATGTTTTATATTTTTAAAATATTAAATGCATTTTTTTTTACTTAGTGTTTTCTATAAGAGAATAAGAGAATTTGTAGAAAAATATTACAATATTCATGATATCATATCATATAACATTTTTAGTACAAATATAATATCATGTAAGAAACTTAAAAATCTATACACATAATATAATACATATTTTCTTGTTTCCAAAAAAAAAATTATTTCATATTTATTCTTCCTTAGGGAAAACAAAAATGTGACCAATTTTTTTTATGAATATTGATATCATGTGATTAACAAATAAAATCTAAAACGCACCAAAGTTTATATGACAATTTCAACGCAAGACTAAATGGAATTTGTTGGTTGAGTTTAGCATTTTGTTATGAGGTTGTGATCATCCCTAAGTTCTGGAGTGAACCCTAAGAGAAAAAGAAAAGAGAAAGATGGCATCAAGAGATCTAGAGCTCTTGATTCCTGTGTCCGGCATATCAGAAAATACATCAAAATCATCCACCTCTTCTTCTGCAAACGTTAGTTCCACCCAAAATCACTCTGGGCAGGAGGTTTTCTTTATATTTTTTCTATCATTTTCTTTCAATCCTTCTATGTTAAAATAATTCAATCTCGTTTTCTTAATGTCACAAAGTCAACATTTTTGCAGGCTTTTTTGAAAGTGATTCGCAGTTGGGCATCAAAGAAGTTTATGTCAGGATGGTATGTATATATTTTGTTTATTTTAGTGGTTTTTTTTTTCTTTGTTGCATCATGTGATATGAATTATGTTACATTAACAAAATAACTTATGTGATTAACTTTTATGTTTTTTTTGTATTGGTATTTGTGTGGTTACGTCATGCGTAGAAAAGGTAACTTAGTAGTGTTAAACTTAACCTATCCTCTAATGGTTGTTAAATGGGTGGAAACATTGGCCCATGTTACTAGTTTGATCTTTTTTATGTATTGAATAAAACTTGAATAATCAAATTTCACAATTTTGTTAAACATTACCATTACTGTTATAATGTCACAGAGAAATTGCACTTGTTTCTCAAATAACATTCAATCTCCTCTAGATTTTAATAAAAAACCACGTTATTTAGAGACACATTTTTTTACATGCTCAAATCATGCAAAATAATGGACATAACTCTATGAACAATAATGCTTCTTTCATGATTATGCAACCCACTATTCTTAAGAAGACAAAATCATAAATGATAGAAGTAAAGTTATACATGCACTTTTCATTTTTAAGTTTCTATTTGTATTACTAATGAAATCTTTGTCATTTCTCCATTTTTTTCTCATTTATCCTTTCACTAAGCAGTTATTTTTATTTCTTAGAAAATGATTGGTGTTAGCTTATATATAGATGAACAAGAATACCAAAATTTTAAAGGGTTATTTTTAGATTATTTCACAATAAATGGTTTTTTTTTATATAAATTAAAGGAGTTACAAGTGTGTTAAAAAAAGTGAAAGAAATTAATGTAATTTCTCTAATAATGTTACAAAGTTGTGATTTTATTGTCATTTTTATCTCTAGACCATTACTTATAAGTTTCTCACCAGGATTATAATATAATGTGCAGTGTCATCCTTCTTCCTATCGCAATAACATTCTATGTCACTTGGGGATTTATTCGGTTTGTTGATGGTTTCTTCTCCCCAATATATAATCATCTAGGAATCAATATTTTTGGTAAGGTTTTATAATATCTTACCTTGTTATTAATAAACATGAACTTCTCTTGAATGACTTTAATTATAATTTTAACATGAAACTAAACATTAAGGAATTTGTGTATAAGTTTATTTAGGATTATTATCTTCAAAACTTGCATATATAAAGGTGGATGCTAGATATATTTCAAAGGGTGTGAATTATATGATTTTCTATAAATATTAATTTCTTAAGAAGATTGTTTTTTTTTTTTAGTTGAAAACAAATATTAGAAATGGATAAATATAAAGGGTGTTTCAACCCTATCAAATTATGAGTAGAATGATAGACTTAACTTTCTCTAAAATATATTAATACCATATTAAAAATGCCTAAATGTTTAACTAACCATTTAAAAAATCTCTAACAAGAAAGAAGGACAAGTCAAAATATCACCATATCTCTTGTAAAAACCAAGGAATGATTTAATTAAATAATAACAAAATATATATTTTTCAAAATCATTATCATGAAATATGTGTGTTCCATTGGCATGTAAAGATTTAGTTGCAAGTTCAATCATCCCAGTTATATATTTTCCCCCATTTACACCATTGACAAGATATCTTATCATGGCTAATTTTGGCCATTGACAGGTCTTGGATTTATTACCTCCATCACTTTCATATTCTTGGTTGGAATTTTCATGTCATCATGGTTAGGAGTTTCAGTTCTCACCCTTGGTGAATGGTTCATTAAGAAAATGCCTTTTGTAAGTTATATATATGTTGCATCAAAACAAATAAGTGCAGCAATATCACCTGGTACATTTTTTAACATATTCACCTAATTGTGTCACTCCTTTCATGTGTTTTAGTAAAGCTTTAAATTTTTCACTTAATTCACACAGATCAAAGCTCAAATGCTTTTAAGGAAGTTGCTATTATAAGACATCCTCGTGTTGGTGAGTATGCACTTGGATTCATCACTTCTTCAGTTATTCTAAGGAATAGAGATGATGAAGAACTATTTTGTGTTTACATTCCCACGAATCACTTGTATATTGGAGATATCTATCTCATTAGCCCAAATGACATTCTAAGGCCTAATTTATCTGTTCGAGAAGGGATAGGTATGAATGTTCTTCACCAAATAATACATGGTTTTCTTCTTCTTTAATTGATCATTAAACATCTTCTTCTTCTTCTTTTTTATTGTGATGCAGAAATTGTTATATCTGGTGGCATGTCAATACCTCAAATATTAACTACTATGGATGCTCATGTCACATTTGCTCCCAGAAAGGCAACATATTCATCAAAAGTATAAAAACAATAGGATAGTTTGAGACAAGTGTGTATGTTCATTTCAACTTTAGTTCTTTTTAACTTAGTAAATATATTTTTTTAATTTGTTTTTTTATTATTGTTATCTATATTGAATCTCACAATCATGCCTTTTATGTATGATTAAAAATTTTGACAAAACTTTACTTCTAATAACTAAATATAATATTGAGTAAATCTTCCTATTGTGGTCACATTTAACCTGTTATTAAACACAGTCATATGTCACTTCTATTTTTTTAATCCCCAAATCTTAAAATATTACAAGATACAAAATTGTGAAAAATAAAATAAAAGAAGAAAATTAAATGTGAATATAACTTTATCCCATATTTCATTTTCACAACATAAACTCAAACAAAAATAAAAATTAAAAATTAATTTTTATTTATTTTTATAATATATTAATTTATAATTTAATATTGATTTTTCTTATTATACAAAAATTACTTTGAGATATCAAATTAATAATGATATCTGATAAGGAAACCGTAACTTAACCCAAAGATTACACCCATCGCCTATTTAATTACATTTAACATGTCACAACAATTACATTGAAATATAAATTTAAAAGATGAGACATGAATATTTTTAATATTTACATCCATTTAGTTATATTTAACATGGCACAACAGTTACATTCAAACATAAAATTAAAGGATGAGACATGAATATTTTTAATATTTATATCAAGAGACTAAATAATTCAAAAGAATATAAATATATATATATATATATATATATATATATATATATATATATATATATATATATATATATATATATATCAAAAGACTACGTAAAACATCCTTTGTATGCATACAATGACACCTTGACAATTCAAATAGAACATATCATACAAACCACTAGAAAGAATCATTTTAGCGACAAAAAAATCAGTCGCTAATGTCAAAAAATCGGTTATTAATCAATTAGCGACCGAAATTAATATATTAAATTAGTTGCTAAATCGATGACAAAGTTAAAAAAATAACTACCGATTTAGATCGGTCGTTAAATCAATGACAAAATTAATTATTTTTATTTATCTAGAAACTCCCCTACTACCTCCTTTTATATTATATTTTTTAGAAGTTTGATTTATTACTAGATTAGTGTCATTGTCAAGATTCAACCTTAGAATTGGAGGTTGAAACTCCAACCACTAAGCTACTAGAATTTTTCAATAATAACTTACAAATAAATTATATTTATATACAAATAAATGTATATATGTATAAATATATATAAATATAAAATCTATAAATACAAATATATTTACATATTTTAATATATATTTAAATATTTATATATTTAAATATTTATATATTTATACATTTATATATTTATACATTTATATATTTATACATTTATATATTTATACATTTATATATTTATACATTTATATATTTATACATTTATATATTTATACATTTATATATTTATACATTTATATATTTATACATTTATAGATTTATATTTTTATATTTTTATATTTTTATATAGTTATATAGTTATATTTATATATTTATATATTTATATATTTATATATTTATATATTTATATATTTATATATTTATATATTTATATATTTATATATTTATATATTTATATATTTATATATTTATATATTTATATATTTATATATTTATATATTTATATATTAATATATTAATATATTGATAAATTTATATATTTATATATTTATATCTTTATACATTTATATAATTATATATTTAAGAAAAAATTAAAAATTTAAATATTAAATTTTAAAGTAATATTATATTTTTAAAAATAAATATTAGAAAAAAGTTTAAAAATATATATAAATTATATTTATTTGTACAAAATATTAAAGATATATATTTATATCTTTATATATTTATATATTTATATCTTTATATCTTTATATATTTATATCATTATATATTTATATCTTTATATATTTACATGTACAAAATATTAAAGATATATATTTATATCTTTCCATATTTATATTTTTATATTTTTATATTTTTATATCTTTACATATATTTATATCTTTATATATTTATATCTTTATATTTCTACGTATATTTATATCTTTACATATTTATATATTTATATATTTATATCTTTATATCTTTATATATTTATATATAAAGATATAAAGATATTAGTTTTGTATACAAATAATATTATAGTATAGTATATTATATTATTAGTATAGTATACAGATTATATATTAGTATAGTATACAAATTATATATTAGTATAGTATAGTATACAAATTATTAGTTTTATAATTTATACACAATGTAATTTATACACAATGAAAAATAATATAATGGTATATTAGTATAGTATAGAATATTTGTATTCTAATTTTTAATTAATTTAAAATTACGCTAATAATGTATAATAATATATGAGGGGATAATAAATTTAATCCAATTACTTTTATAAATATATAAATATAAAATCTATAAATACAAATATATTTATATATTTAAATATATATTTTAATATTCATATATTTATATATTTATATGTATATATTTATATATTTATATATTTATATATTTATATATTTATATATTTATATATTGATATATTTATATATTGATATATTTATATATTTATATATTTATATATTTATATATTGATATATTTATATATTGACATATTTATATATTTATATATTTATTTATATCTTTATACATTTATATCTTTATACATTTATATATTTATATCTTTACATCTTTACTTATATTTATATCTTCATATCTTTGCATGTATTTATATCTTTGTATTTTTATATCTTTTATATATATATATATATATATATATATATATGTATATTTATATCTTTATATATTTATAAAATCTATATATACAAATATATTTATATATTTTAATATATATTTAAATATTGATATATTGATATAATACATATTTATATATTTATATATTTATGTATTTACATATTTATATATTTACATATTATATATTTATATATTTATATATTTACATATTTATATATTTATGTATATACATATTTACATATTTATATATTTATATATTTATATATTTATGTATATATATATTTACATGTTTATATATTTATATATTTATATATTTATATATTTATATATTTATATATTTATATATTTATATATTTATATATTTATATATTTATATATTTATATATTTATATATTTATATATTTATATATTTATATATTTACATATTTATATATTTATATATTTATTTATATATTTATATATTTAATAAAAAAAATTAAAAATTTAAATATTAAATTTTAAAATAATATTATATTTTTAAAATCAAATATTAGAAAAAGGTTTAAAAAAATATATATATATATATATATATATATATATATAAATTATTTTTACATGTACAAAATATTAAAGATATATATTTATATCTTTACATATTTATAAATTTATATTTTTATATATTTATATCTTTATATATTTATATCTTTATGTATTTATATCTTTATATATTATATATTTATATCTTTATATATTTTTTATATATTTATACATTTATATCTTTATACATTTATATCATTATACATTTATATTTTTATATATTTATATATTTAAAAAAAATTAAAATATAAATTTATACACAATGAAAATAAATTATAAATATTATAATATAATGGTATATTAGTATAGTATAGTATATTTGTATTCTAATTTTTAATTAAACTAAAATAATGCTTATAATGTATAATAATATATGAGGGGATAATAAATTTAATCCAATTACTTATATATATATATATATATATATATATATATATATATATATATATATATCCATTTTTAACTTTTTTTTCTTTTTAAACTTCTCACATTCTACATTATTTTTAAACTCTATCATTTTTACTATATTATCATCCTCATTTCCTCCCATATTCTATTTTATCTTTATAATAATTAGTCTTCTTTTATAGAATACTTTATTTTCTATTTTTATTATTTATTTTCTTATAATTTAAAATAATTAATATTATGTTAATGTTTATTTTTATGATTTTTACTATAATAAATCAAATTAAATGGTTCGATAATATCAATTAATTAAAATCATCACATAAAAAACTTAGATAACTACATTAAAATTATTAATTTTAAAAATATAAAATATATTTAAAAAAAACTCAAATTATAGATTGGAAATAAAATAGAATAAATAAATACTCTTTACTTTATATTATATTTAAGTGTGTGCATAAATGTTGACCTTCTTAACTATAAAGAAACAGTAGAAAAATATATAAAGATAATATTTGAAGAAGTGAATTTTGAAGATAAAGACTATATTTATATAAATTTATTCTAGTATATCAATTAACAATAATAATACATAAAATTTAAAAACTAAACTAAAAAAAGTAAGTTTAAATTTATAAAAAAATACATTACTAAAAGTATCATATTATATTAAAATTTTCATTATTTTTGTTAATTATAAATTTAAATGTGTTTCATAAATAAAATTATAAATTTAAATGTATTTCCACTTTTGATCCATCATAAATAAAAATAAATAGTCTCTTATAAATCTTTTCTATTTTAATCCATCATTAAATTTGTTTTATATACGAATTTGATGACTTATCATATTATTAAAAATTTGAATGAAATAATTATGTATAATATTCTTGTAGTATATTATTTTTTAAAATTTGCTAATAGAGAAAAAGTTTCAGAATTCAAAATGTTAAATACTTTTAAATATTAAAATTGACTTTATAAAAAATTAGGAAAAAAACAATTAATCCAAAAATATAATAATGATAAAAATATTATAAAAAAGTGTTCAAAAATGTATTTAATATTTTCAGTTTTAGTTTAATTATATTTTTAATTCTCAAAGTAAAATATATTGTAATTATTTTAATTTAATAAAATATAATTTAAATTTTTAATACTAAAATTAAAATATTAAATAATAATAAAT